GACTGGGGCCACCAGACAGGCCGCTTCCCTGGGGGTGAGAGGTGAATCTGACAGTTACCCAGCGCTGCCTGGGTAACCGTGTCCTGACGTGTTCCTAGCGAGCAACGGAGCTCTAGCCCTCCTGACTGCGTGGTCTGGCTCGCCAGCTCGCTCCCCCGGGGAGGTGGCGCTATGCAAAACCAGGGCCATCACGCTCAGGTGAACTCTGTGGGCCTCACCTGCAGGAGTGCGCTGGCTCTGGGGTCCTCGGGAGCACTGACCCAGGATAGCAAAGACGCCCAGACCAGAAACTCGGCCATAGTGCTTTTCTGTACACAGTCCGCGTACACTCAGCCGGGGGGGCCGGGGCTCCTCGCCAGCCTGCAGGCGGGGGCCGCCAGTCCGATGGGCGACGGAAGGAGCAAGGCCCAGCTAGGCGCCGCGTCCCGGGCATCTTGAAGGCATTGTGTTTAATAAATCCGGGCGAGACGCACACCCGCTCTCTCCCCCCTCTCCTCTTCCAAATCGAGACCTGCTGTAGGACCCCCAGTTTACGGGCCTTAAACCCCCTCCACTTTGGTTAGCAGCTTCAAAGAGCTCCCTTTAAAGTTCGTCCCCCTCCCCGCCACCACCTCGGATTTTACAGGCCACCCCTCCCCCATCAATCCTTCCAGACTTCAGGACGACAACAAACACAAAATGCAAGTTTGTGTGTGTATGTCGGGGGCGGGGGAATCTCCAGGCCTCCTCCCGAATGTGGGCCCTAGAACTGCTTGTTTGAGGCGTGAGCAGTTGTCGGAACAACGTGGAGTTTGGGTTTTCTTTCTTTTTTTCTCTTCCCTTTCTTTTTCTTCTTTTCCTTATTATTATTATTATTTTTTTTTGGTTTGCGTGTGTGTGTTTTTACCTTTTATTATTTAAATTGATACGTTTCATTACTAGGGAGAAAAATAAAATATTCCTTTGATACACAAAATCAAATTGATATTTAGCCTCTGCTTACTTTTTTATGCATGGCTCCTTTATACCACATGGTAGTGACAGATTGTTTGAGCTGGAAGGAAAAGCCATTCAAAGCTAATTAAGCAGCCATTCCAAGCACTATTTGCAAGCGGGAGGCTCAGAAGCCTCGGCATTTGTCAGCGCTCCCCCCCCATCCCACGTGGTTTTGACTGACAGCTCTGGCCGCCGACTGACAGCTCCCAGCAGCCCTACCAATCAGCGTCAAGGAACCTCCCCGGCGGCCTGTGATTGGCCTCGCAAACCTTGCTCGGAGGCGTAGTCGGCGACCCCCACGTGGGGCTGGAGAGGGGAAAGGGGCGGGGCGGGGAGGGAGCGGGTGCGCCCACCCGTGACGTCAGGGGGAGGGCAGAGAAGGGGGAGGGGAAAGGAAGCTCCGACGAGGAGCCATTTTGTGTCTAATGAATGCTGTGGCCAGATGCTCGCATCTGTCGAGCCGGGCATCTCCCTACCCCCCCTTCAGTGCGCGCCGCACACGATTTATGTTTTTATTTAGGAGAATAAATAAATGAAGAGAGGAGCGCGGCCCAGGGCTGGCGGCCGGAGCGGGCGCGGGGAGGCTCGGCTCCGAGGCGGGCGCTCACGTGGAACTCCCCGCGCACCGGCCTCCGCGCGCGGGCTTGCTCCAGCGCCTCATTAAGATGCACTAGCGCACCTCGGGCTCCTAATTAGGGGGAAAGAGACCCAGGGCGCGCGGCCGGCTCGCGCGCGCCCGCTGCGACCCTGGGGTGCGCATGGGCTAGCGAGGATGTGCGGAGGGCAGGCCCCTTGGCCGCCCACCCGCGGTGCTTACGCCGAGGCCCGCTTCCCCTGGACTGGCTGCCCTGCTAACCCCGAGCGCAGGAGACCGAGGCTATGGGTTTGCGGACGAGCTGGCCCCGGAGTCTCGTGGCTCCTGCGACCCCGCAGGAAGTCGCGGCGGCGCG